GCTGCCCCTCCCGGCCAAGCAGCTCACACACTTTGCCACCGTCCACAGCGGCACTGTGAACATGGTGAGCGCCTCTGCCGACGGGCTCAGCCTCTCGCACCGCCAGCTGCAGGCCAAGGAAGGCAGCCTCAGCGTCAGCACCTCCTTCGTCACCCAGGTAATAAGGTGGGGTGGGAAGGGGGCAGCGTCCACCTTCCACGTGAGCAGGCCTCCCCCCCCCAGGGTAGCTGCTCCTCTCCTGTCCCTCAGAAGCCAGTGCCAGCAGCCAGGGGCATAAACACTGGTGGCCACACCAGACAAGCCAAACGAAGGAGTGATCTGACCGATGAGCAGGCGGGAGCAGAAGCAGGCCAGCCAGAAAGGCAGGGTTCCGTTCACGCGGCTCAGCCCTGGAGCCAGTTTCCAGTGTCGTCTTCCAGCCCCAGAACATGCCGTAATACCAAGAAGAGTGCCCCTGAACCTGGGGGAGTGTCTTCCCCTTACGGCTGAGGGTGGGGACTGAGGGGGCAGCTTTGCGACCCGAGAGCAAGTCTTGCCGGGTTCCTTGAGCTCTGGCGGGTGGTGTTTTGTCCACAACCTGGTCATGGCTTGGGGAAGCTCCTCCCAGCTGCACGCCTTGCCTGCCAGGGACTGGCTCTTCCACTGTCACCTCTTGTGGCCTTTACTGCCTTGGCATGTGCCGCCCATACACTGCTCTTCTTTCCAAAGCAGTTTATGACAGTGCATAAATATTTATGTGTTTAAAGCATTTATTAGATGCTTTTCTACCTCGTGGGATTCAAGGCAGCATGTGAGATAAATGAAGCAACTCTTGTAAAAAAAAATGCATAAAAGTCCACTATTTAACATCTCCAGTTAGGGCTGCCAGTAAATATCAGTGTAATGAGTCAAAGGCAGTCATAAGTACAGCTGTCAGCTGCCTCCTGAAGATGGGAAGTGAGGGGGCTGGGCGCACCTCTCTGGGGCAGCTGTTCCAGGATGCAGTTTGGGGGAGGGGAGCTGCTTTTTCCCAGCATGCATCTCAGCAATGCGCAGGTGCTGGGTGGCAAGGGGGCAGGAGCTGGACGGAGGAGTCATGGCGGCTCTGTGCCCTTCCGCCCGTCCTTCGAGCCATAGCTGAGGTGAAGTCCCGATGGCTCAGGTCCCGGGAGGGTGGACAGCCCCAGCGGCACTCCCGAGACTCTGCCTGGCAATGCTGCCCTTCCCCCTGGGTCCCCGGGGGCCAGGGTGGGGCATCGGAATCAGACTGGGTTGTGCCCACAGCCACACGGGCGACTCCTTTCCCTGCCAGGGGGTTTTGTCCATCTCTGTGCTGCTGTGTTGAGCAGGGGCCCCTAGTGGGGGCCTCTTCAGCCCCGGGACACCTTCGGGGTTCTGACACAGGGTGGGGGGGCAGACTGTAGAAGGGGTGCTGCAGGAGGTGGAGCCACATACAGGAGGAAGCCCCAGGGCAGGGGAGAGGAGGGGTGATCCCGGAAAACGCCCCGGGAAAGGAGAGGGAGAGGGAACACCGCCCCCAGTGCTGGTCACAGCCACCGCCACCGAAACAGAATTATTTAAATCCTCACTAGCCGTTGGATCTCAGTGGCCAATGAGGAGCCCCGCTGAGCAAGAGCCCCAGGTCATCCCACCCGCTTCTGACAACACTGGGTGGCAAGCATGGCACCCACAGTGCCCTCCCCCTTGGGGACCCCTAGCTTACAGGATCCAGCTAGTTGCTGTGTCTCCCCCTCGGCCCCCTGGGCTCATGCAGGGACAGTCTACTGTACCTTCCCAACTCCAGGCTATGGCGCTCTGGGGGTGGTGAGCTCACCTGCCACCGCCCCCCCCCCCCTTCACCATTTTTTGGTTAGCAAAACCATTTAGGCCTGGTGTGTTTACAGACATTGGGCTTCAAGCATTCAGAATGCAGGAAAGCATAACAACAATAGAAAGAGTGGGCCCTAACCCTCTGTACTTATACTTAACAATGTTTAATTAGGGCAGGCTAGTAGGTCCTGAAGTTGCAGCACGTAAAAGTCGACTCTTACCTCGGGTCTCAGAGCTGGGACTTCTCCCCCTTGCCCCCGGCCATCTGGACAGGATCGAGTCCTGGGGTGCAGAAAAGCTCAGCTTTGACGCTTTGACGCGGTGCACTCTTTCAGTGCCAGGCACCATGGAATGAGGGGGGCGGGAAGGCCCCTCCTCTGGGACTCGGCCACTCGCGGCTGCTGTGATCACTTGCAGGAGGGAAGGAAGGAAGGAAGGAAGGAAGGAAGGAGGGTACTCTGCGTATGATCTGAGGCACACTCCTTGGTTGAAAGGGACCTGGGAGAAGCCCCAGATGCTTCCCCCCGCTCTGTCCCGCGCTCTCTCCCCAGGCGGCCTGGTGTGTCCTCCCCTCTCGAATCCTGCTGGTGCTGACGTCACAGAAAGGCATCCAGGTGAGCGACTGGGCTCAGGGTCTGGGGCGCATATATGCCGTTGCTGGCCACGGAAGACAGCGAGGCAGTGGCTGGCAGCCACTCGGGCCCCGGCCTCGCTCTCCGCCCAAGGACTGCTGGGCCAGCCTGGGGAGTCGGTGCTGGGGTTCACGGTGTGCCTGTCTCTCCCCCCCCCTCCCCCAGATGTACGAGGCCGATGGGTCCATTATGGTTTACTGGCATGCTCTGGATGCCTCAGAGTCGTCTCCAGGTACTCCTGGGGAAAGAGGTGTGTGGGGGTTTTGGGAGGGGCAGAGGAGCGATGCTGTCTTGCGGGTGGTTGCTGGGGGAGGCGGTTCAGGGGCAGCCACAGACCCAATCCTTCCCAGGGTCTGGGCTGAAGGATGCTGCCTGCGTTGCTCTTTCTCGATTGGCCCTGCCTTTCTGGCACACCTCTCCTGCCACGTTGGGGGGTGTGGGTGTGCCTGGTGCTCCTCCCTTTCACGTCCCCTCCTCCCCCTCCCGGGCACAGCTGGCATGCCTGCCCCTGACCCGTCATCCCCCCGCCCCCCGCTTCTGCGTCCTTCGCAGGACAGGCCGTCTTTGCTCGTGGGATCGCAGCCTCCGGCCAGCGCTTTGTGTGTGTGGGTAAGTGGCGGAGATGGGGGAGGGAGGCAGCCTGAGGCTGGAGGAGAGGCTGTGCACTTGGGAGCTGGTGCCAGAGATGTCTAGGGCCAAAGGCGTGGAGCCACATTTTGGGCGGTGTTTGTGTGTGCTCCACACTCAGTCATTGCTGTGACTGGATCCCGGGGCAAAAGAGCTGTGGAGGGGGGGGGGAGGCACAGCTTTGGTTGGGGAGCCAGGATGACCAGCTCTTTCCAGGGAGCTGGTGCAGCGGGTGCGTGGCCCGGTTCCCGTGGAAGCAGAGGCAGGGTTGGGGGCGGCTGGATGGGCTCCTCGTGGCTTCGGGGGCAAAGGCTGGTCTCGGTGGAAACTGGCCCGGCTCCTGGGGGGGGGGAGGAAGAGGGCAGCGAGGCTCCTCCTCCTCCTCATGGGGACGGTTTCTCCTGCAGGGACATCGCTGGGCCACGTCCTCGTGTTTGACATCCCCGGCAAGGGCACCAACATCACGCTGAGTGAGGTCCTGGAAGAGCACCAGGGGGCTGTCACAGATATTGCTGCGGAGCTCCGTGAGCAGCCGGTCAGTCCTAACCCACAGCCCCTCAGCCCAGTCACAGAATCATAGAATATTAGAATGTTGGAAGGAACCTCGCAGGTCATCTAGTCCAACCCCCTGCACTCTGCAGGAGCACTTTAGCCGAAAGGCAGCCCTACATACCTACAACATGTCCGAAAGAGGGCCGTCCAGCCTCCGCTTGGAAACGTCCAGCGAAGGAGCCTCCACCGCCTCCCGAGGCAGACTGTTCCACTGCTCAACCACTCAGACAGTCAGGAAGTTTCTCCTGATATTTAGGCGGTATCGACTCCCTTGTCATTCCCACCCATTAGACCTAGTCTTGCCATCCGGAGCAAGAGAGAATAGATCCGCTCCATCTTCTACATGACAGGTCATCCTCAGTTCTTCTACAGGGTGGGCTCTCTGGCCCCTCCCGCGTCCGCTTCTCCGTGTCCTGGCCGAGCTCCTTAGGACACCCGCAGCTTCTTGTGGAGCAAGCCCATCCTCCGTCATGGCCCCCGGCTCCTCGGAGCCTTCTGCCTTGTGCCGCCGTGCCTCTTGCGCAGGGAGGGGGTAATCCAGAGGACTCTTGCTGCTTGTGTGCTCCACGTCCTCTGCCGCAGCCCAGGTTCCACGTACGCGCGCGTGTGTGTGTGTGTGTGTGAGGGGGGAGCCCTGCCGCGGCCCAGGTTCCACGTGTGTGTGTGTGTGTGTGAGGGGGGAGCTTCGGTTGGTGTTGGACTGAGCCCCCCTGTGTGGGGTAGTGTCAGGCCAGGGACAGATCAGGTTCGCACCTCTCCGCTGGGTCAGGGTGCTTCCGGGGTGACTCGGTTGGTGCTGAGGCCTCTGCCTGTCCCTTTGGCTGGCAGGGCCCGGGGACAGCAGGGAAGGTGCTTCACGTTCCCTGCCCAGCCGGGCCATTGGCCAGGGCAGCCGACACTGATCTGCCGGCTACACACGTGGCACTGCTTCTCCTTGACGGTGCTCCGTTCAGGAGGAGCAGAGTTGGTAGCAGATTTGCCACTCACAGATCTCCTCGGACCAGGCAGTTCCTGGCATGCTTTTCACACTGGGGCACCGGCAGCTGAGAGTTTTTTTGTGGCTCAGAGCCTGTCTCAAAATGCAAAACTCTCAGGGCTTTATTCCTGCAGATCATCTGACATTGAAACCTGTTGCCCTGAATCAAACTTTTGGGCTAGAGGCAGTTTGGAGCATCTCTAAAGAGGCTGTCTGAGGGTCATGGAGGCATATTCCTGGAGGGACTCAAAGCTTCTTTCAGGGCGTATTCAGAGTGTCACACAGTTCCGGACAGAAACGCAAGGGAGCGGCTGTCACTCTTTGACTGAAGTCGGGGCTGGCCCGTGGTCTCAGCCTGGGGGACACACGCGCCCGGCAGGGGCTCAAGAAACCCAGAGCCGTGCAGAAGCCGCCTGGCTCGCATCAATAGGCGTCGTCAGTGTTGGGGTCCAAGTGGGAGGAGGACGGTGAGAACGTTCTGCCACAGAGTCCAGAGGGTGGGGCGTGTCGGCTGGGGCCAGCAGCCAGCGGTGTTGTCAGAGACCTGCACTCCTGATACTCTCTGCTCTGATTCGCACTGACCAGCATGTATTCGCATGAGGAGGGGCTGTGCGGCTCAGAGGTCGAGCCTCTGCTGGGCATGCAGAAGGCACCAGATCCAATCCCTGGCAGCACCTCCAGTTAAAACAATCTGACGGTGGATGCCGTGAAAGACCCGTCTCTGCCTGGGGCCCTGGAGGGCGGCTGCCGACCCTGTGGAACTGATGGGGCAGCCTTCTGTGCATCCCAATGCCGCATTTATGTCGTTTTAGAGGGCGAGTGAGCATAGAGATCTTTGCGTGGTGCTTGAAGTTCAAAGAGGGTGAACTGGCCAGGGCACGTGGGTCAAGAGGAACAGGTGCTCCTGAAAGCCCATCAGGAGGAGGAGGAGGAGGAGGAGGAGGAAGGGGGTTCTTGGGTGGGAGGTGTGAAAGAGGCGGGGGGGAAGGAGCGGCTGGAGGGCATGGCTCCTGGGGGCCACGAGAAGAGGGCCTGGCTCTCGGAGCTCTTTCTCTCCACCGCCCATCAGACCCTGATTCAGGCCCTGGCAGGAACAGAACCTTTTGGGCTGGAGGCCACGTGGGGGCATCCCCGAGGGGGAGGGGCTGGTCAGTCTCCCGGCTGCAGGAAAACATGGCTTGGGGGGGGTGTCCCTGGCTCGTTTGGGGGTGACGAAGGCATGTTGGCTGTGGGGGAAGCAATCGAGAGCGACTCACACAGCAGCAGGTTGTGTTGTTGAATGTGATGCAGCGAGGGAGCCATCCCATGGAGACGGTCTCCCAGCGGCCTGGGTGTGTTTTGGGGGCCGTGCTGGTTCCTCATCCGAAAGCGTTGGCCTGGTGGGGCCGTGCGCTGAAGGCCGACTCCGAGCTCAGAGCATCTCTACGGGAAGGAAGGGCCTCAGAGCTTGTTTTGTTTGTTCAGACTGCTGCTGAGGCCTCTTTGTTGGGGGGGACCGAGCCCAGCCTTGTGCTTCCCGGCAGTGCGGCTGGTGCCGTGCTCCCCTCCCCGCCCCTGAGCTTCCTCTGCCCACAGGCCAGTGCAGTGGGACTGATCCAGCTCTTCTTCCCACCCGCAGGAAGGAAGCATCGACCTGGTGACTGCGGACGACTCTGGAGGGCTGTGTGCCTGGCGGTCGGGGGAGGAATTCCAGCTGGTCTCTAAGATCCCAGCTTCCGGGTAAGGCCTGAGGAGGAGGGGAGCCCTGGGGCCGGAGGAGGGGGTGGGCTTCCGGCCAAAGTGAATGCACAGCAAGGCAGTGCCACAGTTGCGGGTGGCGGGCTTGCCTCTGTGCTAACGGAGGAACGAGAGCTCTTGGGGTGCGGGGGGAGCATTTCCGTGTTCATGGTCGGGAGACCTCTGCCCGGAAGTGAAGGAGCTTTGCTCCCTTGAGTCCTGCCCTCCCCGCCCAGGGGCTCCTGTTCATCTGTCCGCCTGTGGAACGGGGTGATCGTGGCTGGTTATGGCAGCGGGCAGATCCGTCTGTATGAGGCCGCCAGCGGCACCCTCCGAGCTGAGGTAGCTGCTCATGCGCGCTGGATCTACGCCCTGGACGTGGCTCCGCTATCGGGGAAGGTGAGTCTGTCCCCAGCTGGAACACGTGGCACCTCGCAGAGCGATGCCGCACTGATCTTTTGGGTTCCCACCCGGGGGTATTAAAACCTCTCCCTCCTGAGTCTTTTCTGGTTCATCCTTGGCTGAGTGCGACTTCCGGGGCTCTGGGTGGGGTTCCTCGCCCTTCCTTAGCAGGGATGTGTGGTGTTGGGGGAGGGGTGGGGTGGGCGCAGCAATTGAGAGGGCTGCGGAAGCGCCATAGGCTCAAGCCCCCCCACCCTCCAGTGCTTTGGGCGTCCAAAATAGCTACCATGAGGGTGGGCAGGCAGTGGAGGAAAGGAAGAGCTTCTCCGTTCACATGGTGCGCCTTAAGAAGCCCGTGGAACTCCTTGCCAGCAGATGTGGTGGCAGCGTGGAGAGGGACTCTGCCCTGCCTTGCTTTGCTGGTAAAACATGGCTGCCTCTTCCACTCTCCCCGCCTGGTCCTGGCGCCTCTTGTCCCGGCCTGCAGCTCCCAGGAGGAAGAGCACCCCCCACCCCCACCTCACCCGGGGAATGGTCTTGGATAGGGCCATGAATGCAGATCCCTCCCTGCCTTTCCTTGCCTTTCCCCTGCAGCTGCTCTCGGGGGCCGAGGACTCCTTTGTGGCGGTCTGGAGGCTGACTTGCAACCCAGACACCGAAGGCATTGAGGTAAGCGGCAGCGGGGGTGGGGGGGAAGCTTCCGTGCCACACTCTCCCCCAGGGGAGCCCTGGACTGTCCCCACCCCAGCCATGGCGGAGCTGCCCCCTGCTGATCCCGAGGCCTCCGGAGGAGCGGCTTGGGCACCAGCTTGGTCTCTGCCCCGCAGGGCTGGCCCGCCTGCCGGCCTGCCCGCACGGGGTATGCTGAGCTGGGACTGGGAGTACCACTGAAGACGCCTGGAAGCTGCACCCCGGCTGAGTGGCTCAGGGCAGAGATGGTCTCGGGGGGGGGCTGTTTTTGAGACAAAGAACACCCCCCCACACACACACACACTCTCTTCATCAGCTCCTCTGGCCAAGCTCCTTGTTAGGCGCTGCAGTTCTCCCTGCCGAAATGCCACAGAGCTGTCCAGCTGGATGGGCCAGCGTGCCCCTCTCTGTTCAGTCTTTGCTCAGGTCTCAAGGAGGCTGAACAGAAGGGGCTGCCTCAAGGGCGGGTGCCAAGGGAGCCCCCAGTCTGTCCGGGCACCTGGCAGCCCTGCCTGGGAAAGAGGGATCGGGGGGGGGGCGTCCCTCGTCCCTGGCCACCAGGGGCTCTGTGCCAGCAGCACCCTCCTAGGCAGGTGTGTCCCCTCCCCCTATTTGGTCTTGACGTGGGCTCCGGGGGGGGGGGCTGCTGGCCTGGCTCCTGCCTTTTGTCCTCACAGATCAGGCACTGCCAGACGGAATGCGTGATGGACACCCAGATCTGCGGGGCCCGCTTCTGCGACCCAGAGGGCAGGACCTTCGCTGTCACCGGCTACGACCTCAGCGAGATAATCCGCTATGCCCAGCTGTAGCTCCCCTCCCCCATGCGGGAATGGTGGGGGGCAGACACTGAGCTCCTGCCGGGGGGGGGGCAGCGCTCTCCTCTCGGCTGCTCGTGGGCGTCCTGGCCAGGGGCCGCTGCCCAGAGGCTCCAGGAGTGGTCCCCCCCCCGGGGCAATTTCCTCGTGAAGCTGCACCGGTTAGAGGGAGCGGGAACGCTGGGCCTGGCATGGGTCCCCGGGCAGGACCTCATTCCGGAGCCCCCACCCCACCCTTCATGCTTGCCCTTTCCGAGTTGGAAGCTCCGATGGGGCTGGCCCCTCGTGCCGGAACTGCACCACTGGGGGCTAACTGGGACCACGTCAGGGATCCGATCAGCCCCTCTCGTGCAGGGGAATAGATCATGATACATGCAGTCCAAAGTTGTGAGTGGATTTTGTGCACGTGTTCCCTCCGTGTGGACCGGGGGGGTTGGGGGGTGGCGGGTTGCCCCTGCAGCTCCTCGGCATCCCCTCCCTGGGGTGGGGGGTGACGGGCCTCTTGCCCCTTGGTCTGCACATGCACACCCCTCCCCCAGGGATGAGCAGGACCCCCCCTCCCCCGAGAGGGCCGGACAGGCAGGTGGGGGGGGGGGGGGGGCTGGCCCTCGCGCGAGCACCTGAGGCTGGTGCTATTGGGGGGGGAGACCACCAGTGTCCGCTCCACACAGGGGCTAAGCAGACTGGCCCCGGCAGAGTGAGTCCGCCTGCGCAAGGCACCTGTGCCCAGTAAATGAAATTAAACGTCGTCTTTCCTTGGCAGCTCGGGTGCATCTGCCTGGTCTTTCCAAAGGGAGGGAGGTTGGCTGGCTCTGCTGGTGCTCTCCGCCAGGAAGAAGAGGGCAGGGAGTGGGGGCAAGGTTTCAAGGCGCAGAGGGGCACCAGGCAGTGGCAGGGGGGGGCTGGATTTAAACCCCGTGCCCTTCACTCGGAGTCTCAGAGTGGCTGACAAGCTCCCCCCCGCACGGCAGACACCCTGGGAGGTAGGCGGGGCTGAGAGAGCTC